CTCAAACTAACTACAGATCCAGAATCGCCATCCCGAAGAACCCCTGCTTATGACTTTATTTCATCCGATCCCGTTAAGAAACGATCGAAATACCACCTGCTCCTTCATCTCCCGCCATCTCCCACGCAGTCCCTTCTCTTTCTACTACTAATCCTACTCAACTAACACTAAAACTAACATTACCACGTGGTTTGCCCAGGGTAAAAACCCCAAGATCGACTCCTCCCTCGCTCAAAACCGTCGAGGAATGAGGGAGGCAGACACTTTTATGCTTGCCATAGCCACTTCCACAAAACTCCCGCGCACCAACTTTCTTCTTTCCCTCTAACTCTACTAACTTGTTGCCAAAACTAACAACAGATATAAACTCACCTGCCTAAAAAACCCCCATTTCGTCACTTGGTTCACCCGATTCCGTTAAGGAAAGGGCGAGCCATCCCTTTTTTCACTCCGCTACGGTTCCTCACCATCTCCTCCTTCGGTCTGCATGGATCTGGCGCGTTTATGCGCCCGGGTTCATCCTTCCCTTTTCCCTCTTTCGTTCATCGCCCGCTGCTGCAAACGCAGGGCCCGCTACCTCGTCTCTCCGCTAGCACAGCGCACGCTGCGCTATCCGTTTTTCACCTTGCACGCACTTAGCACAGCCTCCCATCCGTCTTTCCGGCCTATCCGTTGTCACCAACGCCCCCCCCTCGGTCGTGCCGCCAGCCCCCGACGGCCTGGTTCGCAATGCCACTCCTCTTGCGAAAGCACCCGGCTCGATTACCGACCGGGTTCGTTCTTCCTCTCCCACAATGTTACGATCGACGCTCACTCAGCGCCTTGAGGTCCGGACAACCCTGTCGTCGGTCGGTTTGAGAGTGAGATAAAGCAAGCGGAGAAAGAGAACTTCCTCCGCTCTTATGCACATCATCCTTGCGCAGGGTCCATGCTAATCTTCTCTGTGTCGTTCCAATTTTAGCGGATGTCCCGAAGGACAACACCAACACGAACGGATGTTCCGAAGGACTTGGCGCCGGCCGGTGCCCAGGCTATTAACGCGACAGGCAGCCGCCAGGCGAACCTCGCCGTGGGGCAGCCCACCCCGCCCCTCTCTGGTTCGCCCGTACCCAGAGCAGCCCGCGTCCGGGTTCATTCCGGGTTTCTGCGCATCCTCCCTACGCAGCGACCAAACGAACCCTCTCTGTATCGCCCAGATTTTTAACGGATGTCCCAAAGGACGTGGTCGGGCGATGCCCCGCAGTTCTCCTAAAGGCCAACACTGGGGTCACGGGGTCAACCTGCCCTGGTCCCGGGAAATTTTGAATACCCGTTTTTACAGATCCGGCTCCATCATCTACGTTCGAACACAGATCTGTATTTCAAAGTCTTGGAGATGTGGCCCCCTGCTGTGTTTTCGCGTCCACATACGGGCACGACAATAATATAACTAAATAAACTTAGAAATAATATATATATATATATATATACATAAATAAAAATAAAAATGAGAGGTAGTCGGGCAGGGACCACGGCACCCCTCTCAGCCTGCCCGTCAGCCCCACGCTTGGCCCCGCGGCAGCAAAATGCGAGGGGGATAGTCCCATAGGCCCATCAACCCCTCAAGCCTTTTCGCCACGCTCCTCCGCTCCCTTGCCGCACGCTGTTGGGCTCGATCCCTGCGCCTGCTGCGTATCAGTCCGATGCTATAACTTATAGGGCTAAGCCCAAGCCTGGTATCAGCAGGCCTGACTCACCTAATAAGGAGGTAGCCCCCGGCCTTATGGGGCCAAAGGAGCCACCCTATGCCATTTCCTAACCCATACTCACATACATGACCACAAAAAGGCCGCGCCAACCTCCCTGCTGTGCCGCGGCTACCCTTACCCGGCCGAATCCATCAGGTCTCATCATCTGGATGCCACGTAAGGCCACACTCTCTCACTGACCCGTCCATCGTTCCACGCGGAACCAGAGAAAAACGCCCATAGGTTAGCCAGCTTAGTCAAAACAAACAATTGTTATAATAGAGCGCGCCGACCGATGTCCGCGCCACGTCTACTAGTGTAACCAAAAGGAAGGGAAAATCACGCGCGCCTCAAGCTTGCGCGCCCACTCACTCTTTTACTCTCGTCAACCATCTAGTCAACATAAATTACGGACGCGACCGCGCCTAGCGCGGCATACATAAACTTTAAACCAAACTGCTTTCTGTTGTTTGCAAAGACCAGGGCGGATACGCTTGTAAGGGTATTCGCACCGACAACTTACCGGACCATATTAAGCGACGTCCCCGTCGCTTCGCAGGATAAAAAAGCTATCAATTCAATCACAATCCCAAAATGCTGACGAGCAGGGTACCAATCCGATCAGCCGACAGACCCAGGGTTGAGGCCTCCAATAATCCATGCCAAACACAACTTTATGATGCCAGGATTCTAACCTGGGTCTCCGTCGCCCTGACACTCGGACGTCGGGATACTCCTCACTGTACTACAACATAAGCTTCATTGGATCTCTCACCGTCCCATTCCCTGCGCCCTAGATAACCGCCGACTTCTCGTTGTATGCCCCTAGCCTTTTCCCTTGAAACCAAGTCGTGACTAGGGGTGCGGGCCCTAACCGAGACCTTCGAAGGCGTTCTCTCGCCTTCCTCTAAAAAATCTTCACATTAACACACGTAGTCGTACCACTTAGATTCTCACATAAGCTCTACTGCAGTCTAGTACAGGAAGACACGGTCTCCATCTTGGCCCACCATAGTCTGGGCGATCATTCCAGATCTACGGCCCACCGCATTGTTATTTTAGTGGTAGTGCCTTCGCGGGTTGCGCCACGATAGGCTGTTCCTGATAAGCATTCAATCAGAACTTCCTCAAAAAGACTCGTATGACTCGACTCTTATCCCACGCCTCTCCGCAGGAGTAAAACCCTCCTAGGCGTTCACGCCCCTTTAAGTCTTTTACTCCCTTGGCCAAACGCAGACCCTCTGCTCAGGTTGTGCCAAACAGCGGCCAACACTAAGGGTTGCGCCTTAATGATGCTAGTTATACCCCTAGCTGGGTTTCTTATAAATGTCCAAAATTAGCACAAGCGGCCAGACGGTGTGTCGCAACAATACAAGCCTACTGCGGGACTACGCATAGACTTGTCGCACATAAAAAGGTATTTACCAGTTCCTTTGTGGGACAACACAGAGGAAGCACGGCAACCTCTCCACAATCACAAAACAAAATCACCGTCTGATTCACAAGGCCGTGGCCTCCCAGCTTGATCAGAGCAAGAAAGTCACACATCTTGATGACATCTCTTAAAACACACCATTTGCGACATCCAAGAAATCCACCAATAGTCCAACAAAAAATTTGGTCCCTCTCGTCAGTCTTTTCAAAATCAATCTTCCATTAATCAATCTTATTAACCACCTTATTAATAGAGGAGGTCTCACTTTATTAAGTCTCTCAGTCATCCCTCTCTCACTAGGATGAACTCTCTTGCGACCTTTTCTTTAACGCATTTTCCCTCTCTGAAGGTGCGTTTTCCAAATAGATAATGGATAACCTTTCCATTCACAGGTGTCCCACTCATTATATACTCCATGTTAAAAGACCAACTTATTGGTCTTTTACACATCTCAACAATAGAATACTCATCATACAAATATTCAGGATCCTCACATCCTTCCACAAAACAGACTGCGCTTCCTTGCCTTATACTCGGCCCTCTCATCTGCCCGAGGGCAGGCCGCACGAGTATACCGGCGAGTAGACAGTTCACTTTGATCCAGATTCACAAGATACAAAATACATCAGGCATTTTCTCGCGCATATTTCACACCAAACCATCATCCATCAAACCAGGACCACACAAGTGAGTGTGAGAGTGATAATCATATACAACAAGTAGTCCCCAAAAAAAAAGGTTTCGATATAATGTACACTCATGGATAGAATGTCCCACATGAAGTGCCTCCAACATACACTCAGGAGCAGAATGCCCCATACACAAACGTCCGGAGATCGTAACCCACTCAACTCACTCAAAACCACACTCACACTAATGCCGTCCTCAAAGCACAAGCTGGGTTTGTCTCTCGAAGATCAGGGCATAGGTCACCTAAGTATGTACATGCGTCATCTACCATGTCCTGGCCCTTAAGATGGCAGACTCAACAAAAGCCATACCCAAACTGCTCGACAAATGCAAACAACACCTAGGTCTACAGAATGTCATCCAATCCTAACTCTAGTCCTACACGCAGCATGTCAACCATATAGGTAACTCAGTCCAGATCACTAATCTCCTCCTGGTTTTGCCTATATAGCTGAGCCCTACCCCCGTCTGCAGATCTCTCTACTCTCCTGCCCTGTCTATCGTACATCCTGCCTCCTTCCTCTGTAACCTTCCCTTCGGCCTTGTCCTTCAGGAACTTAGGACACTGCAAGGCTCGATGCCCCTCCTTGGTACAGAAGAAACAGGATGTATCGAACCACCATCTGGGCCTCTTCTTTCCCCTCTGTGACCCCGACGATGATGGTGCTTCGCTGGCCTCCCTGCTCAACTCATGGCTCTGAGGCTTATCCAAAGGTTCCTCTCGTGTCTCCTCCTCCTGGGTACTCGGTCCAGGTCGGTCCTCAACCCCCTCTGGCCCATACTCAGGCGTACCCAACCTCTGGAGCCCGCCCTCGATGACACCCTCAGCCTCAATCCTCATCTCTCTCTCGAGAGACTCCTCTATCCTCTGCTCAGGCGAAAACAAACTGGCCTCTTCCTGCATTGAGTGCACTGCCTCAATAAGCACGCCCATAGATCCCTCTGCCGAGCCCTGAGCTGACTCACTACTGGATGGTGGTAGCCCCTCCTCAACTGCCAAAGGTATAACTGGGCCCGTCGCTGCTATAGGTAGCGTCGCGAGCTCAGTAGGGGCTCTGAACTCGAAGGCCTCTCTCTCTGCCTCCCTCTGGGCTCTCGCGTCCTCTGGCTCCAGGATAACTCTCCTCATAGGTGTCTCCTGGCGAGTCCCTGCTACAGATGGCTGTCCGGGCAACCCATGTCCTGGCTGCCTCTGCTCTCCCTGTCGGCTGCTCTCTGGCTTGTCCGCCTCTCCTTGAGATCGCTGCCTCAGGCTCTCGATGATAGCTGCCTGGCTGGCCACCAATGCCCTGAGTTCCTGGATTTCCACCTCCATAGCCTCCAGGCGTACTCCATGGCCTGCTTCCTTTATCTTCTTCTTTGCCAGATCGCTCTCCAATTGCAAGTACCGGTCAAAAGTTGTCTTGGCCAGGAACTTGATTTTGCGATCCAACCTTTCTTCCGCCTTTCTGGCTACTCTAAACCCGTCTCTGGTCGGCGAAGGAAGCTCCTCTCCTCTTTGCTCCTAGAAGTCCCTCCACAACTCTGGGATCTCCGGGGCCTTGACTGGCTCGCTGGGTGGCTGACCCGGGAGTGCCCTTGCTGCCTCCAATTTCTGCCTTTCTTGCCATATCTCTTTTATTCTCACAGTTTATCTTGCCCTCTTTTCTTCAGCCGTTTCTCCAGCTGGCGCCCTCTCCCTCGTGCAGAGGTCGACCCTCTTCGGGATCTCTGCCTCCACCTCCTTCTCGGGCTGGCACGGCTCCTGGCGCGGCTCTGCAGGTGCTGGCTCCTCCAAGTCCGGGTGCTCCAGGGCATGAGCCGCTAGGTGCCTGTCAATCAGGGTCAAGGCTTCTCTCCTTACAGCTGCCCTTTCTCTCCTCTTTTTTGCTCTCCCCTCTCGCGAAGGAGCCTTTTCTGATGAAGGCAATGGGGCCTCCTCTCTCTGCAATTCCCCTCCTGTCTGGCTCGTGCTCCCACGTGCATCTCCAAGTCTCAAGCCCACCGCTGGCGTCTGAGGGGGCGTGTCCTCTCCAACCTCTATYWCTTCCTTCCCTGCACGTCTCTCCTCATYGCCCAACCCTCTCTTTCGCTGAGTRTCCTGGACCTCCTCCTGTGGCACCTCCTCTCRTGGCACCTCCTCTGCCTGCTCTCCAAGCTCCTCACCCCGAGGCGACGCTCTCCACTGAGAGATATCCAAAYKCRCCTYCRACTCCCTCAAAGGCTCCTCAGACGCTGGCGGCTCCTCCTGTGTGCGTGATGGCGACCTCCTCAATCCACCCTCGGCAAACCGATGGAACTCCACTGGTCCCAACCCACACTCAGGGTACACCCCTCGCTCCTCAGCCTCTGGCTCCGGCTCTSGCTCCTCCTCTCTCCTGGCTAGGGCCTTCCGTCCTCCTCGACACGGTCTCGCCTCCCTGGGCTCAGGGTCCCTCTGCCTCTGACTCCTCTGACGCCTCTCAACTCTGGGCTGAGGGGGCTCTGGCCGTCGAAAGGCCTCTCTCAGATGTGCCCTGCAGCTCTCCCAGTCCCGGGCCATGCTTCTGACTTGGCTAGCCAGTGACCTTTCCGCCTTCCTGGTCCAGAGTGGTAGCGTCTGCATCCAATTATCTCTCGGTATACCCTGCCCCTGCATGAACCACTCGAAGGCAGGGATGAAGTCTGCCACATTTTCGATCTCTAAACGGATCGGCCTGCCATCTGGTCCCATAGGCGAGGGTCGCAACTCTTCCATCCTCGCCTCCACCTCCTGCCTCGTCGTCGCCTCCCTACGAATCCTGGCAATGAGCTCCTCGAACCTGCCTGCTCCCTTCAGTCTCTCGATTGCCTGGGCCATGGTCCAGCCTATACGCCTCGCATGCTCCCAGAAACTGTCCAGGAATAGCTCGATGTCCCCATCATCGTACACCGGAGTACTCTCTCAATGGCGAGGCCCATGTCGCTCATATCCTCCTGATGCTCCCAACGGCCTCCGAGGCGGCCGTGTCCCCCTCCCTCCTCTTGGCATGACTGTCTTCGTAAAGTCAAACCTGCACTACAGGCGAAGGAGACAACAGGCACACATTGGGGTAAACAAACAGGTGATAATCAAGCAAGCTCAGACCAGACCATACTCATGCAGCATACAACCTATCCGACCTACATAACCTATCGCTTGTATTCTACAGGTAGTCAGATCGTCTTTCTTACCTCTTCTCTCGCCACAAATTTCTTCAATCTCGTTCCAGATACCCAATCCTTCCACTCAGTCCCATTCAATTCCTCAATCTGGTACGCTCCGAAGTCTCCAACCCGTATGATCCGGTAGGGACCTAACCACCTCTTATCAAGTTTCCTGGACCATTGCTTTTCCAGCGATGAATCGTAGAGAAGCACGACGTCCCCAATTGCGAGAGGCAGTTTCCTCACCCGAGCAGACTGATCCCATCGAGTCTTATCATCCATACGACTTCTAGCCACTTGATCGGACGCCTCCTGGATCCTTTCCTCTATCGCTCCTATCTGTCGCGCCAGAATGTCGAGCAATTCCTCAAAGGACAGGTCGACTTCTAGATCCTGGCGCCTCCAAGTTTTAAGAAAACTCTCGATAGGGAAGGTGGCAGGTCTTCCATACCACAGTGTCGCAGGTGCGTACTTGGTGGATCTTTTCACTGTAATATTTTCGACAAAGAATGTTGCCCTCAGGTATCTTGGCCATTGATTAGGCCTGCCTTCAGTCCACTTAGCCAGGAGACTCGTAATGGTACTGTGCCCTCTTTTCACCGGAGCGTTTGCTTGGGGGTGCGCGGTCGTGGTGTAGTTAGCTACTACACCATACCTTGATAACAACTCATACATCTCCTGGCAAGTAAATTCCGATCCCCTGTCCATTACGAACTCCCTGACGAAAGGATAACGCAGGTAGTACTCTTCGATCCAGCTAACCAAAATTGAACCAGTCTTGGTACGAATGGCACGACCATCTACGAAGCCAGACAGGTTATCGCGCGCATCGAAGATGTAGTTATAACCCTGATCCCCAAGCGGCATGAAAAGTAGATCGAGATGCACTACAGCCCCCACCTCTCGCTTTAGCCTTGGATGCAGCGGCTCTCCTTGCCTTAAACGGGATCTCTCCTGGCAGGGTACGCAGGATCGACAAAATTTCCCGGCCATGTTCATCATCCCATCCCAGTAGTACAACTCACTTATCTTGGCATACGTGGCTTGTACCCCTTGATGCTCTCCTGCAATGCCATAATGTAGTGTTGCTACGATGTCAATCTGGCGGTTCCTACCGCAGACAACTCTCCTGGGATTTTCCACGTCTCTTCTTACGAAAAGGTGACAGTCTCGCACTAAGTAGCGCTGCATCATCCTCTGAGCCCTATCGCTTGCATCCCCTAGTCGCATCTCGCAAGACAAGAGAAGCCCCAACTCTAGGTAAATCCCATCATACTCTTCTGCGCGAAAGGCCTCCTTAATCTCCCCCTCCTCGAACTCGTCGTCCTGGCTCTCGGACACTTCGTCCACATTCCCTGCCGGGTTTAACGAGCCTGACTGGTCGAGGCTTTCCTGCAGTAGCGTGTTGACGAGGAGATACATTCCTCCCATCAGATCCTCATGCCGTTCTACGTGGCCTGGTCCTTCCTCGATCGTCCTCATGTCTTCCACCAGACTATGCGAACTGGCCAGCGCCAACTCCATCGTCCACTAAACATCCTTATCTCCGCAAGGATCTTCTTCTTCAAAGGATTTGAGGGCTAGCTCTGCCCTCCTTTTGTATCCACTCGGCGCTTGCCAAATAGGATAGCCCACACAGCTGGGTACTCCCTGCGACCACTTGTTGATATGAAGACGCACATCTTCTTCCTGGTCCAGAAATCCATCAACTGGGGGCGTGTTCTCCACCGCCTCTCCTTCCTGGTTATCCTAGTTGATACGACTCAGCCCGTCCGCCCGGTTCTTGCTACCAGGAATCCCTTCCAACTCGAAGTTAAACATCCAGATGTACGTTAGCCATCTGGCAACCGTCGGATCCGATGGAACGTAATTCCTTAGAGAGTAGGCTAGGGCGGTCGGGTCCACTCTCAAAATAAATCTCCTGCCGAAGACGTAGTTTCGGAAGATCCGTAGACAGTGGAGGACAGCAAGGCTCTCCCTTTTGAACCGAGAGTAGTTTCTTTCTGTCGTATAGAGAGTCCAACTCTCAAATCGCAAGGGCCTTTCCTTTCCTTCCATGTCTGTTTGAATTAGAACTCCTCCTAAGGCAGTTGGCCCCACATCTGTTTCAACAATGAAGGGTCGCATTTCCGTGGCATCATAATCTGGCGCTCCTAACACCAACCCTCCCTCTCRAAATTCCTCTTTYATTCTGGCCACCACCTCKTCTTGTTCTTCACCTCAAACCCACTCTTGATCCTGACGAACTAACTTCCTCAGGTGCTCMGTCTTAGYGGCGAAGTTCTTGACGAAGRCCCTCCAAAATCCATACGTACCAAGGAAGCTTCTGACATYAGTTATTSAGTGGAAAGGAACTGGYCACTCAGTAATTTTGTCCGTCTTCTTCGCATCCAGCCTTCGGCCCTTCTCGMTGYAGACGAAMYCTAAGATAGTTGYTTYCCTCATGCAGTGTCTGGATTTGGCCCCGCTCGCCGTGAGGTTATGCTCCTYGAGCAGGCTCATAACCTTATCGAGCTCCTGGATGTGCTTCCAAACAAAGCGCCTTACCCCTGGCGAGACTTCGTCGCTCTCCTTCATTGCCGGCCCCTTTAYTKYCAAATCATCGATGTATGGCTGTSTGATATGAGGGTTGACTGACTGCATAACACGAATCATGGCCCKTTGGACCATTGCTACCRCGTTGRTCCACCCTTGTGGGGCCACRTTCATGTGGATTAATCCTCGYGGTGTGTGCATAGCCGTCACCGGCCTATCCGGCGGGTAGACTGGAAACTGATCATATCCTGAGTAAAGGTCTATAAGTGAGATTATAGGCCTTCCAACACAGGATTCTGACAAAGCGTCCSCATTTGGTAGTCCTYCTGCATCYCGCACGGTTACCGCATTCAGCCTCTGCAAATCTTGCACCCACCGCAGCGTCCCGTTAGGTTTGATGAAGCAGAACCACGGGGACGCATACGGCCCACTCGAATAATCGGCGACGTACGTTCGTATTTTGCCGTCGAGGTAATCCACCACCTTCTTCTCCTCGTCAGGATTAGGATATCGCGCCCCTCTCATGTTCCAAGGTTCGTGTGGCACGGTGTGGATACGGATCATAGGTATCTTGTCCACATCAAGCCTGCCACGCTCCTCGTCACTAAACGCATTGGCGCGATGCTTCCTCTTCATCAACTCCACCATCAACGTTCGTTCCTGAGGCAGTAGGAAGTCGGGCTCCCCTATAATCAACCCCCCTTCATTTTCTTTGTTGATTCGACATGGTCCTGCTAAAGCACTCTCCCTCATTCGCCGTATCAACCTTCGTTCCCTCTCGTAATACGCTTTCTCGTCCTCTGTAACGAGGACGGGAACCGGGCGGCACTTCTTGTCTACCGTCTTGTACCGCCTTTGGGAACCCTGCTTGAGCCGTCCCCTAAAAAAAGCCGACTCACAGATTGCGCGTGCGCGGACGCGGTGTTCGTCCCTTCGTCCGGAAGACGATATACCAGCTCCAATCTCCCAGCCTCGGGGTATTCCAGAACTTACTCCCTCAAGGCCTAGATGGCATCCGGATCCGCCATCTCATGTGCGGTCAACAAATCCATGGCCTTCCCGACATCCGATAGGCTAAGGGAAAACGCTTTCACCTCTTCTTCTCCTTCTGGCTCCGCCTGCAGCCTTCGGCGCTCGCCCTCCGATTCTTCGATCGTGAAGGATTCTGGGTTAGGCCGGTTTCTTATATTCCTTGGTCCTGTATTTCTGCAGGTAATTATCTCGTAATTCCCGCAGGAGGGGTCACATAGGAGGAGGATCAGAGTACTGTCATGCTTGTTGAACATCATGGTTTCTGTTCTACTAAAAAATTCCCTCCCTAGGAGGATCCCATGGTCCACGTCCGGCATGATGAAGAAGCAAGCTCGGGCGTTCACCTTTCCAACCTCAATAAGTACATTCGAGGCTGTTCCACAAAACACGGCCTTGCAGCTGGCGCCGTGCAAAATACCGCAGTCAGATCGGTCTATGTCTAGCCCGAATCTGATACCATCCGCCTCCCGGATGATGTTCATTTCCGCCCCGGTGTCCACCATTGCTGCGCATTTGGAACCTTTCACCACTAAGTCCACCGTGCCGCAGGCTACGCACTTCCAATCCATCTTCATGCCCGACTCCGCCCACTCCGCCTCCTTGGGCAGGATCGTACCTAGATGGACGTTGGGCACCAAGCGCCGCGACAACCTCCCCTTCAGTTCATCGCGGAGCCGCGGGGCCGACGCTAGGATTTCCTTTAGGGTCATGAGGTCATTATGCCCTTCCAGCAGCCGGTCAATCACTTTCTCTACGTCAAATCCTTCTTCCAACCGAACCGCATACTTCTTCCTTTTGGGTGGTCCGTCACGTACGACCGGCTCGGCCTCTCCCCTGGTCCGCTTTTTCCTTGCCCGCTACTCCACTCTCTGATCCTCTTCTCGGCACAACCTCTCGTCTTCTTCCACCTCATCATCGTCGTCCTCCACTTCCACGGCCTCTTTCCTCCTTCCTGGTTCGGGCTCCCTCCTCGGAGGCTCTTGGTTGGCACTGGCCTTGGCCTGACTTCTCGTTTGTGCTGCCTGTGCCAGCCGGGCCTGCGGAGTGAGGGGTCTCCCCATCATTCCCGATTGTGGGCTTGGCCCCAYCACATTTACTCYGGGTCGCCCAGRCGCTRACTCCGGGCCGGAGTCGTACAGGAATACCTTGGGGATGCTAGACTTTCATTCCCTTACTTCTCTACAGAGGTTCACCAACTTCTGTTGGTACCTTCCAACCTTGTTCAGAAGGTCCTCCATCTTTCCCAATAAGACGGACGATGGTTCCACCCTTGTTTCTCCGTCCTCGTCATCCGATTCGACGATTATGGGCTCTTCCCTCTTGCTTTCTCCTCGTGGCCCTTGAGTCACTTCCTCGTCGCTCCCTACTTCCTCTACCCCAATCAGTGGTTCCTCCTTTTCCTGCCATAACGTGAATCCCTCTATTCCCACCGACGGTCCTTTCCTCTCCTGCCATAGCCTGAACATGGCAGGGGGTGGCGGCCCGGCTGCCGCCCTTCGTTGGGCTTCTGCTCTCACTCCTTCAAGCCTTCTGTCAATGGCCTCCCCAAACTGATCATAAATGTTCCCATCCATGGTGGAGGAGATCAGCCTGCTCCTCTCGTCTTCCCGTCTTATGTTACAGAACCTTATGGTGTGGACCGTGTGACCTTGCTGGTCACAATGCTGGCAGATGGCCGTCCTCCAGTCAAAACGGGGTCTCCCATACCCCTGACTTCCCTGATCCCCCTGGCTTTGATCCCCCTGGCCTGGGTACCCTTGGCCTTGATTCCCCTGGCCTTGGTACCCCTGGCCTTGGTTTCCTCGGCCTTGACTATTCCATTGCCCTCCTCTTCCGCTGCCATTCCTGCCCCGCCCCCTTCCTCCACCCTTCCCTCCGTTGCGTTGATTGCCCTGCCCCTGGTTCCCACCTCCACCCACGCTTCCCTGTGAACTGGGAGCAGGTGACAGCGGCGGGGCCAAAGGCTGGGCCTGGGCTGCGGGGTAGATGGGTGGCGGCATACTCATTTATGGTCCGGCTACTGGCGACGGGCTACCCCATGGCACAATTGCATTGATCACCGGCCAGGGCCACTGTCCGTAGGAGGGTACCCCTCCCTGCGAGGGGCCCKCACTAGWCGAGGGAGCCGCCACATTTATAGRGGTTGCTGTCAAAGCCTGAGGCGCCTCCGCTTTTCCTGATCCTTGTCCGCCCTGCGCCAAGTTACRCACTTTGCGYTGGGCCTTCGYCAGRCGCTCACCGRCTCTTCCTCTTCCCAGAGCTCCTCTTGAACARCCTCCTCTATCACCGGCTCCTTTCCTTTTACTTGGAMAGCCGTTACTACCCTCCTTTGCACCACCGGCTCTGTCGCATACCCTTGTTGTGCCAAYACGTCTGTAACAATCYTTGTTACCCCCGGGGTCCCRGAAGCGGTCGCATCTCTTTCCTTTCTCTTCTGCCTTTGCAGGCGTACCTGACGTTGCTCCRCCTGGTCCAAACATCCAACTTCCACCCCTCTGTCAATGGTGGCCCAGGTGAGCTTGGTGCTACCTTCTMCATGTCTTGTTAACTCAAYGGCCTCCGATGYCGTGAGTARCCCCAGAAAAATGGCGCACTGCGCCTCCTCCGAAATCCCATGGACCTTCYRTGCCCTCTTCTTGAATTCCTGAACAAAAGYYYCTATCGTYGTAAAGTCCTCCTTGTTCATTGCCTCAAGGTCCGTGGTGGTCAACAATCCATCTCCCAAGYGGTACTTCCTCTGCATTCCTTCCTTGAACCTTTCCCAGCTACCGTGAGCCGCATCTATAACTTTCTTTACTTCCTGGTGGTAGCWGTGRARAACGTACTGCAGGATGCGCTGAAATTTTACAACATCCGACCGCCCGACCAGAGCTTGTTCCACCCTCTCCAGCCATTCTRAGACTCTCTYCCCACAAAAATGGAAGGTATCGACCTTGGRGATATTGCTCGGATTTCTTTCATGCCTATCAATAGCCGCGATRAGGTCATCGAGCGTCAGGCCTTTCTTGGGAGCACCTGA